CACACACACACACACACACACAACACACTGACCTGAAGACGAAAGGCGGAAGACTTTCGAAACGTCGTCCTCTACATTTGTAGGTTTTTACAACAGGCAGTTGCTGTCCGTTTGAAACTTAGATTCGTTATGAATACTTTGCCTAAATAACCTATCAAAGATTAATATATATATATGTGTTAAGCTATTGAGATTACGGCCGAATATATCACTAATGTATAGGATACCAAACCAATGAATTAATCCATTTTAATTATTATAAGTTTTTGTTTCACTTATATTACGTACTCCTGGTTAGAATAGTATATTAAGGTAATTGTATTATTTATTAGGTTACATTTTAGCTCTGACTCGTGTAGTTAGCTTGTTTCAATCACAAGTTGTTGATAATAGATACATTCAACGTTTCAAATTATTTAACAGATCATAGAGTTCGTTTCAGGTGTTTTACATTTCAACAGAATAATCTTGAATGCATTATTTCGCATTTGTTTTCGTGAATTTGCATTTTACCCTTTTTTAATTTTGTAGGCATTGCCTGTTTACGTCAATTATGGTAGAATTGAGGACTTTGAGGAACTGGAAAAACTGGGAATTAATGTCTCGGGAAAGATATGCATTGCTCGCTACGGGAAGCTATATCGTGGAAACAAGGTAACACATTAAACACGTTAAAGATTTATTAACTAGGTAATTAAACTTTCTGACAGTATCATATAATACAAGTAATTGGCTAAGTATATTTAATATTTCTTAACGCAAAAAAAAAGGTTTATATTGGGGTCATCTTAAGAAATATGATTTTTCTCTTTTGTAATGAACCAGATTTTGAAGTAAGTCGTAGACTTATCTCAGGTTGTCATTGTGTGGAAGTGAAAGTCTGTTGGTTTGATTTTTAATTTCAGTCTACCGATGTGAATGTGCAATGAGGTTTAATTAGTGAAAGAAAGTTTTGTTGTTTCTTTTTTATACAAACTTTTCCAATGGAAACTACCTAAAAACTCTTAATGTGAAAATAATGCAAAACTTAAATATAGTTATGCCCCCCGGATAGCTCAGCGGCAAGTCTGAGGGCTTATTGCGCTAAAAATCAGGGTTTCGATACCAGTGGTGGACAGAGCTTTAACACCAAACATTCTACTCTTACGAACCAAAAGCAATAAAATGTTTGTTTTTGATATATTTGTCTACGTATAGGTAGAAAATGCTCAAATCCGTGGGGCAGTCGGAGTTGTGTTGTTTTCAGACCCTTCCGAAGTTGCCCGAAACGGTACTGAACCTCAGAACGTTTTTCCGAATTCGTGGTGGGTCCCAGGAACTGCTATACAGCGTGGAAATATTAAGCTGGTTAAAGGAGACCCTGTCACACCGAACTACCCATCTGTTGGTGAATATTATATAAAATAAATTACACAAAAATTGATCTTAGAAAATGTTTAGTTGTTGTACGTTTTCTGAAAGTTTGAAATTGTTTCAACATAATTTGCTTTTTAACAGGGTACTTGATTTGTTTGTTTTTTCTCGGCTTGGAATTAAGATTCATATAAAACAACTTGTAAAATTTAAATCTTTTGACGAGTTTATCAACAGTAAATTATTTATGTATTTTGTTATATTTTTCTCTCTTTTTTTTTTTACTTGACGTTTCGTTATGAGAACGTTTAGTTCTAATTTGTCTTTTAGCATTAAAATAAATCTAGAATTTTCTGAAAATAAATTTTAGTCAGCATTTAACCTTAGTGATTATGGAATACGTTTTGTTAAATTAGATATTGTAACTAATCCTGCCATGTACATTTTTCTTGAATCACTCGCGTCCCTTAACTGGGCTCCTGGTGGATCAGCGGCAGGTCTGAAGATTTGTAACGCTAAAAATCGGATTTTGATACCCATAGTATGCATAGCACTAATATCCTATTGTATAGCTCTGCGCTTAACTACAAACAAGCAAGCACTTAACTGGATGAGTTGTACCTTTATGTATTTTAATTTCAAATACTTTTTTTTTCATTGAGATGTTCATACTGTATAGACTTACCATCAGAATAAAATATTTAAGTTTTAATCTTTTAAGATTTATTTCGTTGTAATGTTTGACATCATATACAACTATTTTACTGAGGTTTTTATTTATTATCGCTTCTATGCAAAAGTAATAGGACTGTGTAATAACACCAAATCCTTCATGCTTCACAGATGGCGCTTTCCGATATAAGCCGGAGGAAGTTAATATACCGAGGATCCCATGTCAACCAATTGGTTACAATGACGCCTGGAACATTCTTAAGTTAGACAATTCCTCTTCATTCTCTTACTTTTATCATCCATAATATTAGTAGCTCTTTTTACAAGTACGTTTATTTTCAAGCAATAATAAAGCTAATTTTCATATGTTAAAGTATGAATTAGAATACGTGTTTCTTTCAAAAACGATAAGAAAATCGATTTGAAACAATGGAAGAAAATATTTTTTTATCAGTTTATAAAAATATAAATCATTATTGTTTTCTTAACGTAGATTGATGGATGGTCAAGCTGTGCCGGACAACTGGAAAGGTTTACTGAATATAACTTATCGATACGGTCCTGGATTTAAACCAGAAAACAGAGCCAGGTAAAGAGATACGTTGTGATGACATACCCGTTGGCAGTAGTGTACGCTTTCGTTTTTTAAAAATCGTATACCACACAGACGCATACGTATAGTCATGTTATTACAGAGCTCAAAAAGAAAAAGAATGTATTGACTATATTTAGTGTTATTCCTATACCTTGATTTTAATGCTGTGTGTGTGTGTGTAAACGTTTTTTCTTAAACTGATTTCAACAATGGTTTTTTACCTTATAATTGTTGCGCTTTTCATCTTTCCAATCTCTGATATCACATTTATTTTGTCCAGGAAGAAATGAGGATATTTAAATATTCATAGTGATAACTTCAACAGTTTCCTATTGAGTGGTATAAACCTACTGAAGGTTTTGTACGCGATGTCTCAGATTTAATCAAGATATCAATATGGATTTGTTTTACCAACTTTCAGAAAACTCCGCTTGGTTGTCAACAACGAGTACACATCGAAGGTTATCTATAACGTTATTGGAGTGATACGAGGAATGGTGGAACCGGGTAAGTTATATCAAATTGTCAACAACGAGTACACATCGAAGGTTATCTATAACGTTATTGGAGTGATACGAGGAATGGTGGAACCGGGTAAGTTATATCAAATTGTTGAATTTACCCTATATATTTTATTGATTAAAAAACAAATTATGGATACTGATCTAGGCTCACAACTTTAATGATAAGTGTGTGTGTGTATATATAGCATATAAAACCAAGTTTCCTTTTCCATGTTGTCGTTTATTTTTTATTTTTATATAAACTGAATGATTACAGATTTCAAGATCCGATGTTGAAGAAAGTTTCAGAAACTGTGTTCAAAACCATGAAATAATGGAAAACGGGAAGAATAAACCTGAATAATATATTTTAAAGTCTCATTAATTCACAGTCACTCAATTTTCAGCTTTCATACGGGTATCGTTTCAGAATTTTCGCGCAGAGCCACACAGTGATCTAGCTGTACTTTGTCCATACTGATCTAGGTCCACAACTTTAATGATAAGTGTGTGTGTTGTGTGTGTATATATTTTTCACATGTTTCTAGCATTATAAGTAGCCCTCAGATTTATCGCTGAGCCACACAGTGATCTAGCTGTACTTTGTCCATACTGATCTAGGTCCACAACTTTAATGATAAGTGTGTGTGTGTTGTGTGTATATATTATTTACATGTTTCTAGCATTATAAGTAGCCCTCAGATTTATCGCTGAGCCACCGGGAACCAGAGTAGAGGGAAAGCAGCCAGCTAACATCTCCCACAAACAACTCTTGGCCATATAATGGGATTTGACTGTCTCTTTTATAGCGCAACTGCGCCAAAAAAGTGCAGAACGCTTTTTTGTTTTATTTTTTCAGTAATGAGATGCGAACCAAGAACCTTCGAACTATACATTTCTAACAGGCATCTTATGATACAGTAACGCGTGGTACAGTATAATATTGTATGGAATTTCATCTGATCGGAACACTATTTATATACGTTATTTGTTACATTAACAATTGTTGTAATTTGAACACCTTTTATAAGCTGACGAAACCTGATTATCATTAATTATACTTGTCATAAGATAATATGTTACGCCTATTACTTTTTAACACTACATTCTTGATCTATAATTTATTATATGGTTATATAACAATGTTTTTTTTTTTTTTACGTAGCCTTGTTGAAAATGTATAACAATGAAACGGTGTATACTATGACGCCACTGGCTTGGATTTAAGTTGGTTGTGTATATAATCTGAATTCTTAGGATGCGGGAAGATAAAAACTACTGTAATTTAGACAGAGGAATTACTGTTAGTGTTCTACCAGAACAGCCTGTGAAAGTGGTAAACCAATCCTAATCCATGAAGTCATTGGTCCGAGAAGAAATATGTAGAGAGGAACTCACAGAAAAAGTTGTACTTTAAATATCACAGGATAAGCAGTCCCATAATACGTTACAACCAAATGGTCTAAAATAACAGTTGTGTAACTAGTACCAACGGGGAAGAATTATGTATAATACATATGTCATGAAAGGACATCCTTCAAAAAAAACTACACGTGCAGCCTATCTCTCGTTAAATATGAAGGTATTTATGTATATATAATAGATCTAAGAACCCCCCCCCCCCAAAAAAAAAGATTGTCACGTGGATATTTCTTTATATAACGAGAATAAGTACTGAATAGTTCGAATATTTTTGTTCTTTCCAGATCGATACGTTTTAGTGGGAAACCATCGTGACGCCTGGAGTCATGGGGCAGTTGACCCTTCATCAGGAACTTCTCAGCTTCTAGAGCTGACTCGAGTGATGGGGGGTCTGTTGATGGATGGCTGGCGCCCAAGACGCACCCTAGTATTTGGAAGCTGGGGAGCAGAAGAGTTTGGACTGATTGGGTCTACTGAATGGGTAGAGGTATGTATAGTTACAAAACCATGTTTAGTGAACTTCTGAAGGAACGTTAATTTTAGTTTGTAAGGCACTATACATTTATCTTTAAAAGTACAAATGAAACAAAAAGTGGATGTGTTTGTGTACATAACATTTCCAAATCATACGTTGTAAAAACAAAGGTTAAGTAAACTTAATACAGCCAAATAGAGACTTTGTATTTTTTTTCAGATATTAAAATAAATATCCAGTATTTCTACAAACGAAACAAAAAGTGGATGTGTTTGTGTACACATTTCCAAAACATACGTTGTAAAAACTAAGGTTAAGTAAACTTAATACAGCCAAATAGAGACTTTGTTTGTTTGTTTTTTCAAATATGATATAAGAAAAGGAAACATTCTATGATTTGATAATGAACTTTGTGTTTATAATTGAATAGAATGATACAGCTCGAGCAAGTTATTCGATAATGTACCTACGTTTTTAAACTAGTTTGCAACGTAACGCAACTATTTGCGACTAATAAAATACTGGATATTTATTTTAATATCTGAAAAAAATGGTATTTCATTGAAAAGCATGATTAATTTAAATATTGATCTAGAAAGGCCTTGACTTTTTTTTGTATCTTAACTGTTTTTATGATTTGTCATGTTTAAATATTCAAACTCTTGGTCGGGAATGTAATGTTTGGAGTCAAATTTGTCAATATTATACATAACAGTCTGCCATACCACGCTAGAGAACTAGAGCAGACAACGCCATCTTAGATTACATAAAATGATATTTGTTGGTATACAGATGTAATATTACATCGCAGTAAAGACTAATAAAACTTTCAATAACGCCCTTCATCCCTGTCCCCTAATTGTGATGCGGTATCACGCCTATTCCCGTCATGCCCCGCGAGTTTGGGCGAACACAACCATTAGATTAAATTACTTAAAACGAATGAATGTTGAGTTGAAACACTGCAATATAACCACGTACATATTTCAGTGCAGGTGTGATACTAGGAGATTTGGCTAAAAACTGAAACGTGTTAGTGAACGATGCGTTAGATTCAAACCTAGATGCTTAATCTCAGGACTTGTGTGATAAGTTCAGTAAAACGGTCCGATTTTCTACTTTCTCATTTTTAGTTATTTTTTTGGAAAATGAAACAAACAACTGAAAAATTATATTTCAATAAAAATGTAGCTGAATATTATTGTTAATTGAAGAAAAATTGTTATAAATACTGACTATATTTTTATAGCTCTTGTTTTGCTATTTGTTAAATTGGTGGACGAAGATAATTTTAAGGCTTTTCCCAGTTGAACAAATACTGCTATAAAGCATGTAGCTTTTTTTTGTAATTACATGACTAAATGCTACAATTACTAAAGATCCTGTGCACAAATTACACAGACCTGCGAATTGAAACTTCATAAAAATTGTTTGGGTTTTAATAACGGATTTTTCACAATTCAGCTACGCAGATTTTGAAAATAATATTCATTTTTTCCTATCACGTAAGGATTTTTTTACCAATCGGGAAGAAAAAAACTCTTACTTAAATCAAATTATTATTTCGTTTACCACAATGAAAGCCCTGGTAGAGCTAATAATCAAAATAAGAGGACAGTTAGACCTACAACTTCGTAACCTTTGTCCAGTTGCGCTCTGGTAGAGCTTGGCAAAGATTGAAAAAAATCAATGAATCCTTCTTACACTTCTCTAATCCTGTACTGACCGTTACTTACGAATCGCCTACCTTTAAAACCTGCTATTATTCCACATGTTATATACCACAAATTCATAATTTAATTATACTATTTGTAAGACAGAAATAACACTATGAATCAATAAAAAAACAAATGAACGGGCTTAATATTCGTGGCATATCACCATGCATACTTGACTGCAGATTTATCATTTCACCACCACCACCACCACCCGTTGGCTCACTAATAAGTCTAAGGGCTTATAACGTTAAAAATCTGGTTTAGATACCTGCGGTGGACATAACTCAAATAGCCCATTGTATAGCTTTGTGCTGAACAGCAAATAAAGAAAGAAATTTATTTATTCACATTTCTCTTTTTTGATATCTATGTTTATGTAAAAATACCACCATCTGCCGCAAGTTACTGTTCAAGACTTTTCGTTCAATACCAGATGCCATTAGCCGGGTTGGAGTGTGACAGCCAAAAATCCATATGACTGCAGTGTAAAAACTTTATCTAATTTGAATGCCGAAAGTAGTCGAAACACTGTGAACCTATAAGCCTAATATTCGTGATAAAGAACACTTGACTGTACTGACTCGTGACAGAGAAAAGATGGATATCAGAGTAAATTATACAATCTGCTTAAAGTATTAGGTTAAAGAATTGTTTTAAAACATTCTTTGAAATAAAACACCTGTATCACGACTATTTAGGCAAATTATTTTAATCATACAGTTCAGAGGTGAAGTTATCTTTAAAGAAATATAGGTACTCCACTCTTCATCACATAGTTCAGAGGTGAAGTTATCTTTAAAGAAATATAGGTACTCCACTCTTCATCGCATAGTTCAGAGGTGAAGTTATCTTTAAAGAAATATAGGTACTCCACTCTTCATCGCATAGTTCAGAGGTGAAGTTATCTTTAAAGAAATATAGGTACTCCACTCTTCATCACATAGTTCAGAGGTGAAGTTATCTTTAAAGAAATATATGTACTCCACTCTTCATCACATAGTTCAGAGGTGAAGTTATCTTTAAAGAAATATAGGTACTCCACTCTTCATTTGGCAGTAAAATGGTGAAATTCTTCTTAAGTACATGTACTCTACTTTTCCAGGAAGTGGTCTTATAGTGGAGTATCGTCAAGTTTTCTGTTAGTTCTCGGTAACTCTTCCTGCAGCATTTAAACTGAATGGTCAACAAATAGAAAAATAATAACGGAACTCGGTACTGGCTTCCAAAAAATTCTATAAAGAACCCATGCTGTGTTCCGGTGAACACAAAGATAATTTCACCCCTGGGGTAGTCGTATTGTGCTAAAAGATAGAATTTCCGACAAAAATAGAAGAAATATATATATACAAATCACACAACATACCAGCTCTATTAGAGTGGTCGATCATTGGTTGGACGATCCTTCTTCTTGCATTGATGAACCTGAAAAATAACAATACACATAGAATATATATATCATCGTATTTTCTAAAATTAATTATTCGATTATTTCACTAAATGTATGATGAACGTTAAAACGTTTCAGCTTTAGAAGTTTGATGAACCTGAAAAATAAAAATACACATAGAATATGTATCATCGTATTTTCTAATATTAATTATTCGATTATTTCACTAAATGTATAATGAACGTTAAAACGTTTCAGCTTTAGAAGTTTGATGTGATAGAAAATATAGGATTCAGATACTTCACACGCATTTCAGGAGTTCATACACTAAACTTAAAATTCATACAAGTCAAAAATATCTCGGAACACAATGCTGAATGAATACATAGTAAAATACACTGTTTCAATGCGGGGCGTAATACAAGCCATACAAACAGATGTGCAATATAACACGATATTATTAAATTACAACCGTTAATAAAGTTCGATAGATATTATAAACGTTTAAAATTACAAACAGTATGATAAATTATTATTTCTTATCACATAAGTTGTTCACACTTAGAACCTTACTTTTTCACCCAAGAACAATTATAAATTACAATATATATATCGCTTTTAATTAAGTGGCTAATTTATCGGCTGTTTAAAATGTGGCATTAAAATAATACACAAATAAGAAATACATCGAAACACTTGTATATTGTATATTTAAATATTTAACGCAAAGCTACTAACGATATCTGCCACCATCCCTAATTTTGAACTACTGACCTAAAGGATGGCAGCCTGTCAGCAGCACTCTACCAGCCAGGATATGGGATTGACTATCACTCTTATAACGCACCCACATATTAAAATGTGTGGACATTTTGTGGTATCGCACGGATTTGAACCAAATCGCCAGCTCCGAAATCCAGGGATCTAAAAATAGGGCCAACCCACGCCCATATCAAAGCATGACTAAATCCACGTGATTCAGTAGAACTAATCAAATTTATAATTCTCACATGCAAGTCAACTCGTGGTAAAAATCGAAACGCGACAAATTTTGTTCACGAATAAGAGTAATCATCTGTCTACTATAATTTGTCAAACAAAAAAGCAGCGATTGGGCGTGGGATTTTCCAACCAGAAACACTCAGACATTACACAGTTGCCACATCTTATCTTAACAGGTGTAAAATCGAGATTTCAGAATGCCATGTTATCTTCATGACAAACCTATACAGACTTAAAAAAACTGTTATTACTCCCCCCCCCCTCCAAAACGCGTTCCTTCATCACTTCAAATCGATAAAACAAAACTATCTTAACTGTTACTCAAATATATTTGTTAATGTGACAGTGTACAAAACCTGGTCTTCGCGGCATGCAGATGATCTTATATTACGCTAGCTCCATGCGGATGCTAGACAGACAGTGACTAATGGGTTTTCTGCGGAAATATGACAGCCAGAGCGTCCAATAATTTATGACAAACTTCGTTCTTAGCTAGCTCGTTTCTATACGTATACACACACAAATATATATATATATATATATACAACAGCGAGAAACCCCATGCAGCCGGGCTCAGCAAGCTGGCAGATCCATATGTATACGTATATAGTTTTCTTATATCCAAACAGGCTTATAAATGTATTGAAACCCTGAAAGAACATGAATCACTGACCGAAACTAAATGGGTAACCATTTCCTTCACTGCCTACAGCTACGCATCTCGCGTTTCTCCTTTCATACGGAAAAGACAAATTACAGCGTTCTCTTGCTCCCATCCCGGCTTGATTTATTAGGCCTCATTAGGTTATGATATTAATACAGAAAGAGAAAGATGGCGCTTTCTCAGCGCCATTTTGAGTGGATAACCTTGTAATGGAAATAGAATAAGGAAGAAGTTGAATGAGTTGAAAATCTTTGAAAGTATGAAAAAAGTTTCATACGTA